AGAGCGGGCAAACCAAAAACGAGGGGAAAAAAAGAGATCGCAGAGCGAGTCGATCTCCGAGTCTCGCGCCGAGTTTCTCGTTCTCTCATCCTCTCCCTATAAATCTCTCCCCTCGACTGGTCTCTCTGATCTTCTCTCTCTTTCATTTCTCTCCTCCATCTCCGATTCCGGAATCTCTTTTCCTCGTTAGCAGGTTCGTGGTCACTGGTAACATTTTTGTTCCAAGTTCTTCGTTGTATCGAGTGCTTCGTGCACGATCTATTGTTTGATTTGAGTTTTTATAGGCTTCGCGTTTTCTGGAGTGATTCGTGCACGATCTGTGGCTTGTTTCGAACTTTTATGCTTCTTTTGTTTTTGGTTTCGGCATTTGATCTGTAGATTTCTCGTCATTGGTAGATCTGTCGATGGAGATTTGTTCTGCAGATTGTACCACGTAACATTTTTTACTAGATCTATGTTGGCTGTTGGTTGATGGAATTTAGATATTTGGATCGGGTATAATTATATTCTGCTTCAGATCGCGTAACTGTTAGTTTACTTGTGTCGGTGATTCTATATTCTGCGTCTCTGTTGCTCTCTCTGGTTGATTCTTTCTCTGATTTATGCGTCAGACACTTTCGAAGAATGAGTGTGCGTTTGAATGTTTTTTCTCGCTGGAAAATGGGTGACGAAAATTTTTCTTGGTATTGTCGGCAGATTTATAACGTGATTCCTGCATTTGGATGCTCGTTGGGTTGATAGCGTAATAATGGGCTTGTTTCTGTGTTTGTGTAGAAATGGAAACGTTCCTTTTCACCTCTGAGTCTGTCAACGAAGGCCACCCTGACAAGCTCTGCGACCAGGTCTCGGACGCCATCCTCGATGCTTGCTTAGAGCAAGACCCAGAAAGCAAAGTGGCTTGTGAGACATGTACCAAGACCAACATGGTCATGGTCTTTGGCGAGATCACAACCTCTGCCAAAGTGGACTATGAGAAGATAGTTAGAGACACTTGCAGAGCCATCGGGTTTACCTCCGCCGATGTTGGGCTTGATGCCGACAAGTGCAATGTCTTGGTGAACATTGAGCAACAGAGCCCTGACATTGCCCAGGGAGTTCACGGTCACCTCACCAAGAAGCCTGAAGAGATTGGAGCTGGAGATCAGGGACATATGTTCGGGTACGCCACTGATGAGACACCCGAGCTCATGCCGCTGACCCATGTCCTAGCCACCCAGCTCGGGGCCAAGCTCACTGAAGTGAGGAAAAACAAGACCTGCCCGTGGTTGAGGCCTGATGGTAAGACCCAGGTCACTGTCGAGTACAAAAACGACAGTGGAGCCATGATCCCCGTGAGAGTCCACACGGTTCTCATCTCAACCCAACACGATGAAACCGTCACCAATGAGCAGATTGCCGCAGACTTGAAGAAGCATGTGATCAAGCCTGTCATTCCCTCCAAGTACCTCGACGAGAACACCATCTTCCATCTGAACCCATCTGGCCGTTTCGTCATTGGAGGCCCACACGGTGATGCTGGGCTCACGGGAAGGAAGATCATCATCGACACTTACGGTGGGTGGGGCGCCCATGGTGGAGGTGCATTCTCTGGGAAGGACCCGACTAAGGTGGACAGGAGCGGTGCCTATATCGCAAGGCAGGCAGCAAAGAGTGTGGTTGCAGCAGGACTTGCACGCCGTTGCATCGTGCAGATATCTTATGCCATTGGTGT